AGCACTATAACTGGAATTACACAGTTTATGGCTTGAGGGGGGGGGGGTTCTAGGAATTGAGCTCTGTGCTCTCCACACCTGGAAAATACCCTACCACAGAACTAGATCCCCAGAATCTTTTGTTTTCTTCTTATATCTTGAGACAGAGTCCCATTTTGAACTCACTTTGTAGCCCAGGCAGGCCTTGAGCTTGTCATCCTCCTGCCTCAGCCTCCTGAGTAGCTGGGATTACAGGAAGGTGCTACCAGGCCAGACTTGCTATGAATCCTGTGGACAATCCTGCATACCACTCACTCTTCAGTATAATTAAATAACGAGGCTCAGATCTAGACTTGTGGCTACTACCCCAGTCCTTTGTCGGCAAGCGTTCGGTGGGCCTTCTCCTCCTGCTCACCTTCTTATCCTAGTAACAATATCGTTCACAGAGAAGGAGCTAAAATTTTAATGAGATCCATTTTCAATTTTTCCTTTTGCAAATTAGAGTTTTGATGTTGAGCCTAGAGATTCTTTGCCTCGCTCTAGACCCAGATCTTCTATTTTTAAAAAGGTTTTATGTCTTAGCGCTTTCTGTGTAAGTCTATGATCCATTTTAAATTTTGTATAAGATGTGAGCTTTAGTTTGAAGGGTTTTTAAAAATTTTTTTGGCTATAGCATCCAGATGCTTTCGGTGCCCATTGTCTTTATCTGCTCAACTTTTGCTCCTCTGTCAGAGATCTCTGGGGTGTATTTACACGGGTCTCTTTCTGGATTCTTGGCTCTGTTCCATACATCATAGTCTTGATTCCTGCAACTATTTAAACCTTAAAATAATAATTTTATAAACATTAGTACAAAAAGTTGGGGAGAGCTTGGGGGAGTGGGATGGTTGAAATGGAGGAAGGACAGATATGGGAGCAGAGAAGAAGGTATCTTAATTAAGGGAGGCATTGTGGGGTTGGCAAGAGGCTGGACTCTAGAGGGTGTCCCAGATGTCCACAGAGATGTCCCCACCTAGGACCCTGGGCAGTGGAGGAGAAGGTGCCTGAACTGGCCTTGTCCTGTAGTCAGACTGATGACTATCTTGAATGTCACCATAGAACCTTCGTCTGGAGACAGATGGAGATAGAGACAGAGTCCCACATGGGAGTATTGAACTGAGCTCCCAAGGTCCAGTTGAAGAGCAGAAGGAGGGAGAATATGACCAAGGAAGTCAGGACCACGAGGGGATGATCCACCCACTGAGACAGTGTGCCTGATCTAATGGGAGCTCACCAAAGCCAGGTGGAATGGGACTGAACGAGTATGTGATCTAATTGAACCCTCTGAATGTGGCTGACAATTGGGGCAGACTGAGAAGCCAATCATAATGGCACTGGGATTTGTCTCTACTGCATGTACTGGCTTTTTGGGACCCTAGGCTATTTGGATGCACACCTTCCTAGGCCTGGATGGAGGGGGAAGGGCCTTGGACTTCCTACAGGGCAGGGTACCCTGCCCTCTCTTAGGACTGGAGGGGGAGGGGAGGAAGGTGAGTGGGGGAGTGAGAGGGAAGTGGGTGGAGGGGAGGAAGTGGAAATTTTGATTCCTAGTATTAATAAAGTAATAAAAAAGGAAATGTTGCAAATAAGACTTTATACCCTGCTATTTACCAGACCCAAAGTCTATACATCTCAGTGAACTTCTATACAACGAGGACAACCTAAGTTTGGAAATCGAGTAGACCGATTTCTCTCACATTATTCTTGAGTTTTAAAATTACATTAGCTATTCTAGCTACTTTTCTGTTCTACGTGAGTTTTAGGATAGTCTTTCCTATAGCTATAAAAAATATTTCTTGGGTTTGGATATTGTGTTGCATCTGTACATTAATTTGGGGGAAAATTAATATTTTTGCTATGTCAAGTCTTCTGCTCTGTGAGCACGGCAGTCTTTATATAACCTGATTTAGGCCTTTGATTTCTTTTATCAGCACTGATTGTTTCAGCACATAAGTCCCTGCACATGTCTTGTTAGCTATGTCACTTCCTCTCCTCTGAGTGATTGCAAGTGGCATTGGGTCGGAGCTTGTAGCATCTTGGCACTAGCATCCAGAAGCATGCCTGATTTTTGCACGCTTGTCTTACTCCTCAGTCTTGCCAAATTCACTCATAGTTAAGGTTTTGGTTTTATTTTTATGTTCCTTAGAATTAATTATATATGTTGTACATATATAATTATGACATCTGAAAACATTGATACTTTTGTTTATTCCTGCACAGTCTGCATACTTCTAGGGTGCATATGCATGCATGTATGATATGAATGCAGGGTATCTGCACACATGTATGTATATTCATATGTGTGTGTGCATTTACATGTGTGTATATATGTGTGTGTGTGTGTGTGTGTGTGTGTGTGTGTGCATGTGAAGGCCCGAGGTGTACATTGAGTTCTCCACGTGACATCCTGAGGCAAGGTCTCTTGCTGAACCCAGAGTTCTGTTCTGGCTTGGTTGGCTAGCTGTCTTGCCTTTGGGACATCCTGTTTCCACCCGTGAGTGCTGGCGCCGAGGGATCTGAGCTTCTGCCCTCTTGCTAGTGCTAGAAGTCCTTTTCTCGCTGAGCAGTCTCCGCAGCCTTAGTTGGCATACTTTTAATTTCTTTTGTTGTATTTAATTTTTTTTTAATTTCATTTTTCTATGTGTATGAGTCTTTGCCTGCGTGTATGTCTGTGCACCATGTCTGTGCCTGGTACTTGTGGAGGCCAACAAAAGTCATCAGATTACCTGGAACTAGAGTTACCCATGGTTGTGAGCTGCCATGTGGATGCTGGGGATTGAAACTGGGTCTTCTGGAAGAACACCCTGAGCTCTTAGCCGCTGAAGTCATCTCTCCAAGCTCAATTCTTTTATATATATTACATTCTCTCACACACACACACATCTTTGCACTATGACACTGGCTATAGCTTTTAGTACCCAGGAGGAATAAGAGTGCAAAGATTAGATGCGCTCGTCTTTTCTGTTTTATGGAGGAAACACATGCCATTTTCTCCATGCGCACGTTAGCTACAGTGTTGGTTGTAGACTTTGTGTGGACATTTTGATCGAGGTTAAGTAGTTCTCCCTAATCCTATTTTTCCTCAGAGTTTTGATCATGAATGGGTCATTGAATTTTTTGACAACAATCCCTTACCATACTATTTTTCTTCTTTGCTTTGTTAATACAAAGGGTTGGTTTTTAGATATTTGATGCATTTCATGGTGAAATATTACAAATTCTGTTTGCTAATATTTTGCCGAGGAAGTTGTGTCTATATTCATGAAGGATACTGGTCTGTGGTCATGGTTCTCCCCTTCCCTGGAGTCTGTGTTTATCTTTGATTTTAGTATCGTGGTAGTACTAGCTTCATAGAGTGAGCGTGGCTGTGTTTCTCCCTTGGCTGTTTTCTGGGAGAGATCACACAGAACTGGTGCGACTTTGAACATTTGGTGGAATTCTTCAGTGAGGCCATCTGGGTCTGGAGATTGTTTTTGGAAGGTTTAAAATTATGAATTGGAGTCCTTAATGGGGCTCCCCAAATAATCTACTTCTTATTTGGGAAGACGGAAGTAGTTGCAGTTTTCAGGGAGTTGACCCATTTTATCCAGCTCCATACAGCATCTCCATTGACACCGCCTGGCTGGAAGGAGTAATCTTTCCCCGCCACCCCAGGTGAGAGGGGCTTACTACTGCTCCCCACTTGTTGACAGTATCTAAGGCTGGGGTGGAAAGCTTATAGCCAGGTGGGATGGAGGTCAAGTCTCCCAGCTTGGTGGCAAGGGGTCGGTCTATAGTCTTTCTCTCAATTTATCAATTGTTGATAAATGGCTTTCTGTCTTTCTGGGCTACACATTTAGTGGTCCTTTGCATGGAAAATGCCCACCCCCGAAGGCTTTTGGAAGTGACTGGAATAAGAGGGCTCTGGCTTTTTAAATGGATTAATCTGTTGATAGACTAACTTGACAGCATTATTGGACTAGAGACTTAGAGGTAGGGTCTATCACGCCTTTGAAAAGTGCTCTTTCCCTGGTCCCTTCCTTCAGCCTGTCTTTCTTCTCCCTGGCTGCCACACAGTGAGCAACTTTGTTCTTTCCTGTCCTCCTGTCAGGATGCTCTGCTCACCGCGACGCAATAACAGGAGCTATCTGACCAAACACTGAATCACAGCCAAAACAAACTCACGTTGTTTCCCTCAGATGTTTTGTCGTAGCAGCAGAAAGCCTTAACTAGCCCAAAAGGAAGGCCTTTTGTGGGCTTTATCGTTTGGTTTGGTGTACATAGGTATTTTTCAGCTGCTGTCTTCTTTAGCTTTAATTTGTGACACCATAGGCAAGAAAGTCCCACAAACTTTTAACATCATGTATTCCTTCAATCTGCCTTCTTTCTTCTAACTTTGAGTCCTTTGGTGTTTGTTGTGTACATGATCCCCAGGATTTTCAGCTGTACCTACGTGAAGAATAGAGAAGATGATGCCTACTCTAGCTTCCTGGTGGTTCAAATTCTTATTTTATATTTTTTAAATATCTTTTTTTCTTTTTGAGACAAGATCTCTGTACATAGTCCTAGCTGTCCTGGAACTCACACTGTAGAGCAGACTGGCCTTGAACTCACAGAAATGCACCTGGCCCTGCTGCAAGTGCTGGAATTAAAGGCGTGCGCCACCCCACAGAGGATGGTTTTAAATATTCTTCCTTGGAAGGATGTGGGGACGCTTCTCTGGTGTAGAGACTGAGAAGTACAACTGCTTGATCTTAGGCATCTGCCTCTGCCCACCCTGGTGGACCTCCCTCTGGAACTGCAAGCCCAAATGAACTCCTCCGTAAGCTGCCTTTGCCATGGTCTCCTCACAGCAACGGGAAAGTAACTAGGGCAGCATGCAAATTTATTTTTCATAGCCTTCTCGCCTGCTTATGTGGATTTTATATTTTAATGAGGGAGAGAGACAAAAAGAGAGACAAAAAACAAATTAACCACGCAGTCTCAGAAAAGCAATCGTGTGAGGGAAATGGTTTAGCGTGGCTGATAGAGGGGAGGGGGATGGGATAGCCTCGGGGCTTTTAAAAGAAGTTTTGTTCAAGGAGCTACCACCCAAAAGTGGCGGAGGACAAGAGAACCCTAAAAGCTGAGGCGCTGGAGGCTACGTGGACATATCCAGGTGATGTTGACATATCCAGGTGATGTTGCTTCAGGATACATCAGGGCCTTGGTGTCAGTTTTCCCCAGAGGCAGTAGAGCCCTGAGACTTATAAGTTATTTTTGTTAATATCCAGCAGAAGAAGGTATAGTTTTATGGAATATGCATAGCTTCCGGTCCAGAGTAAATGAAAATGTTTCTTTAGTGAGCTATTCTAAAAACAAGTAGATGCGTAGCCATTTGAGTTTTCCACTGTGGGTTTTTGAATTAACTAGACTCAGCCTGCTGCGAGGAAACAACCTTGGGACCAATCCACAGGGCTAGGCTATCTTTGGCACATTTGTACATCACAGAGCTGTGGGACAGAGAGGCTCGCTTTACAGGGTACAGTCGGGGAGCCTGTCTTCTGAGGAAAGAGACACCAGAACCAGCACCTGAGAAAGGAGGAGGCAGCTGCAGTAAGGCTTAAAGACTTTAAAAGTAAGAGAAAGTGTGGCAGAGAAACAGAAAGGTCCTGAAGTTGTGACACCGTACAGGCAGCGATGGAGCTGTGTTTAGTGAGAAGAGTGGGAGGACTGGGTTAGCGGCTGCTGGACGGAGCAGGCCTCTGTTCTTAGTCCCATGTGGAACCAGTGGAGCTTTGGTTAATATTTTAAGTGTTCTGCTTTATATTTGGGGAAAACTCACTGTCAGGCATAGGGAGGATGGGGCAAGATCCGTGTAGAGCTCTGGCTAAGATGAGATGGCAGCTTGAAGCCGGGAGAAGATGGGGATGTGGCTGGAAGTGGGCAGATGGCAAGAGCGTGATGCAGCCTGCAGCCTTGGCTCAGGCTGGGACGGGGAGGTGTGGGCAAGGGAGGTAATCTAAGATAGTTCTGGAAGACGGCGGCGTCTCAGTGCTCGAGGTGGAGTAGACCAGGAAAGGAGCGAGCCGAGAGGAAGCTGGGAGCTGCCTGTGTGAGTTTGTCTTCACTGCCGGTGGACGCAGATGACCCGGGGACGTGCAGTTGGCTTCTGCGATGACTAATTCCTGTTTGCAGCTCCAACCAGGGCCTCCTGACTCACGACAGAGGACTTTGGGGACTCTGTGTCGCCAACCAGGAAAACGAGAAAACAGACTTCAAACTGTCATTAGTCAAGGAGCAAAAATAAATTCTTAATTAGCCTTTGCCGACTGCATATTAATTACAGCTCCATTTACGCGCCCGCTTCTTAGATGTGGGGAGTGGAGAGGAGGAGGAAGTGATGGCCAGGATTGCCCTGTGTGGAGGAGGACAAAGAAGCCAGGATTGCCCTGGGCCTTGTGCTAGGCAGCCCCCCCCCCCCCGAACCTTTCCAGCGGGTCCCACCCTCCCAGGTCCTGCAATTCTTATTTTTATAGATGAAGCAGCTGTGTCTTGTGGAGACAAAGGACGTGTCTAGGGTCTCACTCACAAGGTCAGAACCCTTCTTTTTGGACCCCACAATGACGAGCGTTGCCATGGCTTCCTGCCTTGTGCTCACCAGCCCACAGCTCTTAATTTTTTAAAATCAATTTAAAACCCAATCATCTCAGACAGACCAGAAGGTCAGTGTCAGTCCCCGTGGGGCGTCTCACCCCTGGTTTAAGGTATGGTATTTCACATTCTTAGACCTTGCTGAATCTTTCCTGAGGGTCACCTTGTCTCTGGACATTGGTACCCACTGGTTACCATGGTGATGCTCCCCGTCTCACTCCAACAGCTCTGGGATGCTGCAGGACTGATGGTTCTGTGGCTTCTTTGCTGCTCTTGGTACCTGAGGAATTTTGTCAAGGTGGGACACTTCCGCCCACTGGGAAACTTCTCCACTTGTCTCCTGAAGACTTCTATAACACTCTCCCCTCTTGTCAACGAAGACTCAAGTAACTGTTGGTTTCAGCTCTGCCTTAGCCTCCCTGGAAACCAGAAAGCACAAGTGGTTATTCCAGTCACTTCCTTTTGTTTCCCTTTGCCCGGCTACGTGCACTGGAGCAGTCCACCCTGGTATCAGGCAGGGCTTTTTACTTATTTAGTTTTTGACATTTTATTTTAAAAATTGCAAATGAGACACTATTAGTAAAAGCAGCAGTGACCTCCCTGACATTTATTGCAGCTTCACAGCTTCTGTGTCTCCCCCTCCCTACTCTCCCCTTCTGTATCACTTTGAAGCATCAGACGGTCGGACCCATTCGCATTTCAATCTGTATCTTTAGAAACCAGCGGCAGATATACTTGCAAAGGAAGCGCTTTCTACCTGAAATCTTTCCTGACTTTGTAGAAGACTGGTGTCCCACGGAGGGCTGTGGCAGGTCAAGTTCTTCCTGTCCCCGAGGGTGGGTGTGTCTTGTTTGCTCTCCACTTCCCTTGTCTCCAACACTATGCGAAAAAGCATTTCCACTTTATAGAAGAGACAACTCACATCCTTATAGGAAGGGAAAGAATTTTCTTAAAGTATTGAGACTAACTCAGGACCAGAGGGTCGCTGAAGCAGGCCAGAGTCCTTTCTGAGCAATATTTCTAAATGCCTGGTCATCTCATTTGTAGGAATGTGGCTGGTGCTGCAAAGGTGAGGTGGAGAGGGTTCTGGGAGAGCCTGGGATGTGGCTGGTGCTGCAGAGGTGAGGTGGAGAGGGTTCTGGGAGAGCCTGGGAGTGTGGCTGGTGCTGCAGAGGTGAGGTGGGGAGGGGTTCTGGGAGAGCCTGAGCTCCTCTCCTCTGGCAGCTCACTTCTACTTACTCTGCGCTCTCTTTGAAGGAAGCAGCCACTCTTGTTGCTGAACTAGTTATTGGGGATCTCCACCTGGCCCCACCCAGATTTTTTTTTTTAAACCAATTATCCCCAATTCCACAGGGCTCTGTCCCTGAAATGAATGGTGTCAACCTATCCCAAGAAGAAGTGTCCGAAAACCCAGCTATTGCTTCAGGCCAAGACTGTGCTTCGGATTGATTGGGTTCAGAGAGAAAAACCTGCTGTTCTCTGCTTCCTGCCCTTGCTTTCATGCTGCTGCTGGTTGTTTGCTCAGGCTAGCTTCTCCTGTACAGAGTCAAGATGGCTGCATGCTGCTAGCCTGTATGCCCCTTGTTAGTCGTCCAGCAGAGGAGAGGGTCCTTCTGATTCCTGATTTTCATTGCTTTGTTTCAGATCACATAACTGCCTGAGCCAGTCGTCACAGACAGGGTTGAGATCTGTCAGCTGAGTTAGATCTGGATTATCAGCCTTGTTAAGGCCGGGTGGGTGAGACCGGCAGTTTCCCCCAGGAGAATGAGAGGCTGTGACTGAGGAGTAATGGGTGGATGCTGAGCAGGAAAGCGACAAATCCTACCTCTGGTTATGCTTCTGGAACTGTCCCTTGGAAAGGCTGTCCTGGGCAGTTGCTTTCTCCTTGTTGAAGCGTTGGTCATGGCTGAACTGTGGAATCCAGCATCAGGGCTCATGGCCAGTCTTTCTCATGGTCTGTCCTCTTCCTCTTTCCACAGGCGTGGCCAACAGCAAGTTTCCTGGTGCTTCCCTGGACCTGGCTGTCTGAGAACTGGGGAGCTATTCCTAGTGGACCCAACTTCCTCTGACCTTGAAAGAGCTCCTCTTCTCTCCAGCCTTTGCTTTATCCCTTAGAACATCTGTAAAGAGGAGGGGCTGGTGGCAGCCACCCTGGGGCTGTGAGAGCGACAAGAGCTTGTGAATTGTGTCTGCAGCAAATGGGAAGAATAGTACAATAGCCACTCACTTCTGCCCCTTGGGAAGTGCTCTCACAGCCCCCCTCCCCCTTCTCCATTTTCCTCCGGGAGCAGTGGCTCTTGATGGAGATGGGTTTAGATGGCTTGGAAGCTTCTGTAGCCGCCCACTCTTCCTCCTCCCTCCCTGCTGAGCTGACAGTTTCACATGACATCAATTCCTCTGACAGCAGTGTAAACAGATGGTGGTCCCTGCTGCCCCGGTGCTGGGTAGCGATACCATGGTAACCTGCTAAACTGTGACAGGTGCCAGGACGGTTGGAAACCAGGACCTGCAGACACACGGGCACACAAGGCTCAAGAGCAGTGCGACATCAAGGACACAGGACTTGAGGACTGCCCCTGCCTCTTCCTAGCCGTGCGAACATGACTGAATTGCTTCCTGACTCTGGACTCAAGGGACCTATGGATTCCGGTCCAGAGCAGCAAGGGTTCTGGACTGGAAAGTACCTGATGTGGGGATAGGCACATGGTGTCCCACAAAACTACAGGTGGGTGAGTGACCACATGATCAAAGGGAACTGGAGCATCAACTGCCTGGAAGGTGGTCAGGAGGCAGGTTAGGCAGTGAAAAAGTTTTGGGGCCAGGGGAAGGAAATAGAAACCCCATCCTGGAATCTGACTGAAGCCTCTTGCCAATCAGAGTTCCAATATGATTACATTTGCTTAGGGCTTTTCTCCCATCCGAGCTGTAAGCCTCAAGTTTCCCAGAGTCTCCCCAGAAATTCCTTTGCAGCAGCAGGACAAGTTCTGACCCTGCACAACCTTAGTGGCTCCTGTTTTTATGCTATCTGGTTGTAATCCTATCTAAGGAACCTCTGGAGCTTCCCTATACTCTCAGTAATTGAAGAGGGGAACATAGACAGAGTCGGGGGGAGAGTCCCCTAGAAACCCATTCAACAATGAGGTTTTGAGAGCTTCCAAAATCCTATTGTACAATCACCACTCAGACACTTCAAGGGGACTCTCCCTTGGGAAGCTCATATCCACAGGTGGGTTTGTCTCTTGCTCCCTGAGTATCTCCAGTGCTTAAGATCTATGTCGAATTAAAATCAAGCAATTAACTCCAGCTCTGATTCATACTGGCTCGCCTTGAAACTCTTCCCCATGGAGAAGCATCTGACTTGACCTGGGTGGAGGCACTTAAAAGCTAAAGGGGGGGGGCGGGTATCTCAGGCTAGGGCAGGCAGTGGGGGGTGCTATCTCTTTCTGCCACTGCTCATGTTTGGAAAGTGGGCTCTGTGAAGCATCTGTCTGGGAAAAGGCAAAAGACATAAATGAGATCTGAGGGGCTGGGCGCATGTAGAACAGTACATGTGGGGTAAGCGAGCATTGGATCAGGAGGGCCTAGGACATCCACCGCCTGGAAGGTAGCGCTGAGGCAGGATAGAGAGACAGGACAAAAGTTAAGGGAACACAGGAAGGGAAGGAGGCCCTCATTTTCTGCCTCCTCAGGTTTTTCTCTGAGGAGTTGGGACCTCATTTTTGGCAAAGGTTGGGAGTGCCCCGCTGCAAGCCTCACTGACACACAGAGGGTAAAGGACCGTGTTCCCAGCCTAGGCGGCGCTGGGTTTATGGTGCTGTGAGCGTTTGCTGACTCTGCCTCAGTTTCCTAATCGTCCTCTTGTCCTGCTAAGGCGTGAGCTTCACTTTAAGCCATGGCTTATCCCAAGCTCAGGGAGGACCAGGGCCTCCTCTCAAGCCGCAGGCCACCCACACAAACCACTGGGTCATGGGCTGACCTCTTCCTTTCTGTAGTCATGCTCCTGGCCTGAAGGTCTTTGTCAGCCTCTCACCATCTCTATCAGTCCCCCCTTTTTACTGTCCTGAGCCCCCCATTCCACTCTGCTTCTCCTTGTCCCTGGGGTTGTCTAGGGTGCCTTGCAGTCAGTGCCCTTGCAGAAATTCGGGTGATCGCATAGCTGGCTTTCTGTACCAGACTAGCTCTGCCAGACTGGCTGTGGCCTCAGGCAAGGTACATTGGTTTTGAGAGTCAGTTCCCTCATCAGTGAGAAAGATGGCTTGGATGGATCAGAGGGGATAACACTGTGACAAGCTGGAAGGAACCTGGGGCAAACTCAATACACGGAAGTGACTACTGACCTCCAGTTGGAGTGAGACCACACCAGCTTGCTTTCCACAAGTGGGACGGACTGCAAGGAGCGCGCAGAAGGACAAGTTCACTGGCACCGGAGACATGTGGACACTGTTATTCCTTGGAAACTACAGCTCCCAGACTTCTCCTGGATTACCGTCACCTGTGCGCGCTGGCGCGCCCAGGTGAAGGCCACTCCTCCCAGATAACCTTGCGCCCCCTGTTAAAAGCGAAGGTCCACGAGGCTTCGCTCTCTTGGCCCCGCTCTTGGCCCCGCTCTTGGCCCCCCTCTTGGCCCCCTACCCTTGTGTGTCTTGCACGTCCCACCCCTTACCGTGTTTCCCTCTCCCCATTAAAGCGCACCCACGTGGGAGCCGCATGTCAGTCTCTTCCTTTGCGTCCGTCTATCCTGTGTTTGTCCACACACCCACGCCGCCCCGCCGCCGTTTTAAAGGAATAATATTGGTGCCGT